TTCATTATTGATATGTATTGATTGGGTGAATCTGGTGAAACAGAAGCGATGAAAATTCGAGGTTTTATATGTCCAATCTCGTCTGCTCTCATGATTCGATTAATATCTATATTATGAAGTTTAATGAACTTAAAAATCGTTCAAACAGAAATTTAGAAAATTCATCATACGTATACACATTTATTATTCACATACAACAAAGAGACATAGATAAAGCCCCCGCGATCATCGAACTTGCTGTCAAGAATAGAATAAACTTGCATAAGTAATGAATCAAAGAAAAGTCGTATAAGATAACGGTTCTCACATACCTTTATCAGGATAAGAATTTAGTTTGGATAAATCCTCGAACAATTCTTTCATATTACCTATCACTTGGTCATTTACAACCTTGAACCTTTGATACATATTAGAATTCATCGTCTGATCTGTATCTTCAGAAAGTTGATGAGGATTTTTAGGGGATACCAATTGATGTTTGCAAAGTGCATGGAGAAGATGCAGTATTTCTACAGCAAGCAGCTCATATAACTGGTGGGAGATATCTTAAACTACCAACTCCGCAAGGGTTCTTACAGTTTTTGATGGTATTTTAATTAATATAATCAAAAGAATAAAAAGATTATATTATACGCTATGCTATGCTATTTACTATTTTCTTTTCCTAGATAACATTTCTTCCGGATCGATATACGAGAACTTATCAATGTTTACCTGGAGAAGAAAAGGTCGATTTCGGTGCTGCATGTTTTTGCCATAAAAAAATTATAGATATTGGATATGTTTGTTCTGTATGTTTATCAAGTATCCTTTGTACACATGCATATATTGCGTTTTTTAATTCAAAATTTCCTTAATTCTTGTGATTTGTGTTCATTAAAGTTTTTTGTCATCCATTGGAACAATGTTCAACTTGCAGGTTTGTACTTGTCTCTTTTTTAATTTTTATGGAATAAAATGAAATTAAAATCACAAGAAATTTTGTTGTTTTGACTAAAAAACACCCCCGGGATCGTGTTAAAATTTTGTTGTAGTTTTGTTGCAATTGTGTGGTGAACATGCTTTG